AACCTTTCTCAGAAAGCCAAGCCCATCTGCTCAGTTCTGGAGCTTCTGTTGGGCAGCAGGACACCTGAGTGGGCTGGGCTGTGGCTTGGTGACCCCCACGTGCCAGGGGCAGACGTTGTGGCGGCTCCCCCAGCCTGGCCCTACTGTGGGCTCCAGACTCTGGCTCATCCCAGCAGGTGTTGGCCGTGGCAGGAGGTGCAGGGGGGGACCAACAGATGTCCCCAGGGATAAAACCAGGCACCACGGCTGTGCTCTGCCCTGCACTGGTCTGTCCTACCTGTGGCAAATAATGCAGCAACAGGTTGTGGGGTCCCCTCACCCCCCTGGCCTCTTCCTCCTTGAGAAGTAGCAGCAGATTAGCTGTGGAGCCCCTCTGTGCAGACAAAAGCTGCCACAAAGGGCATTAGGCTTCAGGATTGGATTACCATGTGGCCACCTGTCATCCCCACTTTGTAAATTTATCTCACTCTGGGTCTGATTTTCACATTGGAGAAGTTTGCACTTAAAAAAAAACCCACAAAATCCCCTGCCCAGTGCCTTTGCAAGGAACAGCCTGGCTGAGTTCATCTTAGTATTCCTTCTTATTCCAGGCTTCATTGCTGTGTGGAGCTAGAGATTAGGGCTGTTTGAATGAAGAGAGCCTTTATTACATTAGTTTAAGTGGTTAATAGGTAAAGTAGGCCAATCCATCTTTAGACTAAGCCTATCACTTCGCCTACGAAGGGTGCAGGCTTCACTGAGGAAATGTTCATTAAAGGAAAAGCTTTTCCTCTGTCCCTCTTGATATATTAATAGCTCAGGGTTAGGGGTTTGCTCTTTGCCTGTGCAAAATTCATGGCTGTGCAAAATTCATAGCTGTGCTCACACAGCAACTTCCTCCCCTTGCTGGGACCCTGCTCCTGGCAGCTCTGCCCTAGTCCGCAGTGCAGAGCCCCTCCTGTTCTTTCTGGCTGGGCTGGGTGGGCAATAAAGGACGCTGGGAGTCTGCTGGTGCTCCTCATCCTCATTTCCTTCTTCCATGCTCAATAAGCAGGTGCCTCATCCCTTCCCAAGCAGGGAAGTGGGGCTGGAGTTCAAATGACAGGTAGAGGCAGTGCTTTGGTGCTGGGACTCTCTGCTGTAGGATGTTCTCAAGGCCAGAAGTATTTGTGGGTTTGTAGGATTAGACAGTTCATAGTTGCTATGAAATAGGATGATTTGGATGCAGATGCTGTCTCCAGAGGTCTTTGAACTCCAGGTTGCCAGAAGGCAGGAGGATAACAAGGCAGGAGGGATGGCTTGCCAAGGTTTTCATACTATATTTTCTACTACAGTTTCCACTATGGCCCTCAGTGGTGTCTCTATCCAGCCCTGGGGCTCAGCTGAGCTCTCTGTTTCCCACAGCCTGGCTCCCTCTGTCATCCCCCTTTGCAGTCCTGTATGGACAGCAGTGGTAGCTGCACCTCTGCCTTTCTCACCCTGTCTCAGGCAGTGCTGGCAGGAGCTGCCCATGTCTCCATGGTGCCTGAGAATCCTCCACAGAAACAGAGGCTCCACAAGCTGCCTGGGGAGATCTGGATCCACCTGAGCTGATTCTGCTGGACCCCACTCCTTTCTCCTGAGGGGCTGCATCCCACCAGGGCATCGTGGCTTCTCTCCATCACAGCTCCTCTTTCCCCTCCCAAAGCATAAGTTGTAGTTTAGCATGGCCCTGGCTGTCTTGGAGCCACAGGAGCAGATATGTTCAGGTCTGGATCTGGTCCTCCTTCCACCAAAACATATGTCCAGTGTGTTGTGCTGGAGCTGCAGTGCTCTGCTGGGCCAAGTTGCCCTTCTCCAGCTGTGGCTTGAATGGGAATAAATTTCCCTGGGTGATTTTTCCACTGCTATGAGTTCATACCAGCCAAAGTAGCAGTTCCTTCTGTCCCTGAGGCTCTGCTGTCTCTGGCTGCCAGCATGATGGATGGTGCCTCTATGGGAGATTATGGAAACCATGGGAAAGCTCCTCACAACTGACATGCCCATGCAGTAAAACTTTGCTTTCCTGTTGTCAGAGGTTCAAACCACCCCTATGGGCCACAATATTTGGCTTCACTTGTAGCTGTCTTTCTTTCATGAAGCCACTTTACAAGCAAAGCAGAGTCTGAGACAATCTTGAGGGTCTCAGTTTTGGGCTATGCCTGGCCCCTATGTGGTACAATGAAGGGAGAGCAGGAGCAAGGGCCCCAGGGCTGGTTTTGGTGGATCCAGGCCTTGTACATGAGGTGAAGTTTCTGTTTCTACCTCTGCTCACCTCAGCCTGTGTTGGCCAACCTGAGGGCAGTAGGTGTGTCAATGTGCCTTGTTCTGCTTTGCTTGCTGTGATGGGTCACCAGCAAAAGGTTCTTAAATTGCCAAGAATTCAGGCCCTCTCCAAAAATAACAATCTGGGAGGTTTAGGCTTGCCCAGAACTGAATACTTTCAGCCACAACTGCAGTGTGGGTCCAGGAGATGAGCTGCTCTGCAAAGGGGCTGATGCCAGGCCAGTGGATGCCTCTTAGGCAAAGAGTTACTCCCTGCTTTCTTCCACTTATGGTGAGCTCCTCTGTATTTGCTGAAATGCTAATTAAGAACCTGTGTTTCCCAACTGAATCAACTGACTTGGCACTCCATCCCCAGCAATTTCCTCCTGTTTCACAGCCCAGCCCTGCCCAATGCCTTTCTTGTGCAAGGAGGGGAAAAAGAAACCTTGCATCATTCCCATGAGACTGATAAATACCGGCTGTAGTAGTCCTGGAGGAGAAATCAGTCCCAAAATGCAGGGCCCCAAACAACCAGCAATCCAATGAGCCTGACCTAAAGCTGAAGGGCTTCAGTGGAACACGGGCAACCTGAGAATGTTTTGGGAAGCTTTCTCCTCTCTAGGCAGGTCCCAGGCCATGAAGGACTTCATGGGTGGAAAACAGCCTCTTAAATCAAGCTGAAAAGAAGTTGGTGGCCAGTGCAGGATGTAGAACTTGGGTTTAATGTGGCCATAAAAGGAGACACCACTTAATGAGCAAATGTCGAAATCTACATCAGCCCATGACAAATTTAAGAGTTGCTCTGAGCGTTATTGACTGGCCCTGTTCTGTGACAGCATTATGGGGTTGCAGAGTTGGCCAGAAAGGCAGAGAATTAGTCAGAGCTTTATTCTGGTTGCTGGTTTTGGCACACACACACTAGCTCCTGCCTTTCAGAAGCTCTCACATTCCAGGTATCTGGTAGACCAGCATTATTTTTATCTGCATGTGAAACTCCACTTGTGTGGACTTGAAATCCCAGCCTTCAGGGTTGCCACCACCTCTGGCCATGACTGGACATTCCTCAAACTGATATCCTTTTCCTCCATAGTCCAGCTTGTCCATTGCCACTTCTGAGTGTCATGCAGATCTGGCACAGGGACTGTCTCCCACCTTGGCACTGTGGAGAAGGGGCTCTATGGGCAGCCTCGAGGCACAGCTCACAGGGAGGATGGAAGTGCAGCCACTGGGTGCCCCTTGCCAGGAAACACATTGCACAAAGGTGATGCCAGAGGCTGGTGAAGTAAAATACCAGGTACAGTGTGAGCTCACCAATAGTTGCATAAATAGCTACTGACCAAATTTCGTAGACATGGGATGACTTTCGATGCAAACAGACCTCTCATTCCTGGATCCCCTGTATTTGCTCTCAGAACAGATTGGTCAGTTTTCTTCTTTTGAGTTCTGAACAGGGCAACCATTGGCTTTAGCTCAAATTATCAGGGGCTGTTTTAACTGCAAGAGCCCTAGTGACCTTTGCTGTGGAAGCATAAAAGCAGTCAGGGAGGAGATGGCTGTTGGGAACAGCCTCTGTGTGGTGTCCTGTGGCTAAGGAAAGCACAGCTTCAGGCTTGCAGATCACACACTGGCTGCTTATTTCTCTGTGCTGGGTGGATGCTTTGAAAACTTAATCAAGTTTTATAACTTTAATTTCGTGCTTGACTCCCCTTTTGCCTTTTCTTTTCAACTGTCTTGCAACCTGGAGCAAATGAGTCTGTTTAGGCTATAAAGGGAAAGAACTGGCAAACGGTCTAAAATATTTTAGCTTGACTAGTGAATAATAGGGAAAAATTACTCTTCCTGCTTCATGCCACTTCTGTCAATTCTGCAAGCTCCCTACACTTTCCCCATGTGGTTCACTAGAAATAGCCAGGGAATAAGGCAGAACTGCTGGAAGTTTTAAAAGTACTTTGTGAAGGTATGTCCTGCCCATGTGCTGAGGTTGTGTTCTCCACAGTTGTATCCCATATCCTGGCCTGCTGTAACCTGTGGGGAAATGCTAGGCTGGGGCTGTCCTCATTGTTTCCTGGACTAGGATGTGCTGAAGATGCCATGGGCAGCTCTTGATGCCCTTTCTGATTCATGTGAGGAAACAAGTGATAGGGAATAGTAAAGCAGGGGATGAAACTGGATGCAAGAGGACACCTGTGAGTGAAGTCCTGCTGTTGTCGTGCCAGGGAAAAATTGCACCCTCTTGCCTGAATTGGAAAAAGTTTTGCATTTGGAACGCTGAGGGAAAGTGAGGTGGACATACTCTAGAGATCTCCTGCTTTTCTGCTGTACCATCCTCTCATTCCCATGGGGAAATGAGCTCTGGACTGGGGCTGAGGTCTCAGTGGTGTTGTCATGAGCCAGAACAGCCACCTGGTGCAGCTCAGGACCCATCCTGACCAGTCCAAAGCTGGTGTGGTACATTCAGCCATGGTCCAAGCGCAGAGTGTAGCTCAGCTAATCCACTCATGAATAACTGCAGGATTACTCAACTGGATTTCTAATACAGTGGCCTTTAATAATAATCCCCCTCTAATCCCTGAATCAATGGGAAATGGATTTGTCTGTATGATCCAAATGGCCTGTGAAGGCATTTTAGGGAGAAGAATTCTTGTGTATCTATGTGTAAACATACATATGGATGCATATGGGTATTTTTGTTCCTCTTCCTTGCCCTTCTGACCCATGTCTGTGTGTTTTGCTGGCAGGGAGCTGATGCCCAGGACTCTGGAGGGGCAGATCACCATGGAGAAGACCCCCAGCTACTTCGTCACCAAGGAGGCCCCGGCCCGCATCTCCTCCATGTCCAAGGGCACCAAGCTGATCGTGGTGGTGCGGGACCCCGTGACCAGAGCCATCTCGGACTACACCCAGACGCTCTCCAAGAAGCCTGACATCCCCACCTTCGAGAGCCTGACCTTCAAAAACAGGACTACGGGCCTGATCGACACCTCGTGGAGCGCCATCCAGATCGGCATCTACGCCAAGCACCTGGAGAACTGGCTGCTGCACTTCCCCATCGGGCAGATCCTCTTTGTCAGCGGGGAGAGGCTGATCAGCGACCCCGCGGGGGAGCTGGGCAGGGTCCAGGACTTTCTGGGCCTCAAGAGGATCATCACGGACAAACACTTCTACTTCAACAAAACCAAGGGCTTCCCGTGCCTGAAGAAGGCGGAGGGCAGCAGCAAACCCCACTGCCTGGGCAAGACAAAAGGCAGGACCCACCCTGACATCGACCAGGAGGTGGTGCAGAGGCTGAGGGACTTCTACCGGCCCTTCAACATGAAGTTCTACCAGATGACAGGGCAGGACTTCGGCTGGGACTGAGCCTGGCATGGGAAAGTCCCCTGTTATTACTTGCCCAGCACGGTTTGCTTATATAAAGAGATATATATGTATGTAAAATGTACAGAAATCTATTTTATAATAATTTATTTTTAATTCCTAAGCAATTAATTCACTAAGCTGCCTAACCACACTGGCTAGAACGGTAGCCTGTAACCTGTTTAACATTCCACGGTGTTTTATTCTAATGTCTCTCCTTTCCTTGGATTTTTGCCCTTCTTCTTTCTCTTTGGTTTGGTTTGTAACAGACAGTGCTTCCACTTTTCCTAAACAAAATTTGTATTTAAAAATCAAAAGAAGGGAGGGAGGGAAAGCACAAGTTTATTTTTGTTACGGGTATCTGGCCTTTATAAACATTTGCTTTCCCTATTCCAGTGTCCCAGTCTCTGCTCCGCTGTTGTGCTCCCTCATCCCACAGTTTTCTGGTTAGTCCCATGGCCCTGGGAGGTGTTTCTCTGGGGTGGGTGGGAGGAAGGCTGGGCATCCCTGCACCCCACATACCTCTGCTGACCAGCAGCATGTTTTCCCAGTGGCTGTGAGCCTGGGAACCCCAAGCCAAGGGCTCCTGCTCAGGGTTGCCAGGAGGGCAATGTGCTCTTTTTCCAGCAGAGAACCTGCAGAGCTTGTTGCATGGCCAGAGCTCTCCTCAGTACAGTTTTTCTTCCTGCTTTTTGTCCAGGAGGTTCTTGCCCACAGTCCCTCTATGCATTTAAAATCTTTACTGCAGGTCAAATGTAAAATGCTGTATCTGTGTGTGACATGTGTGGTGCTGGTCAGAGTGCAGAGAGTGTTGCTCCAGGAACACCCATGCACACCAGGCACTGCTGGGAGATGGCACATGGAGCACCCTCCACCCACCAAAGACACCAGCAGAGCCACTGGGAAAAGCTCAGGTGTCTGCCTGGCATCATACCCAGCATGGAGCATGTGCCAGAACATGGCACAGGCACTGTTACCTCCAGCCCCATGGCCACCACAGCACCTTCCAGTACATGAGACTGGGGAACATCACCCTTAGCCTCTTAATTCCCATCGGTTTTTGGTCCAGCACCCTATCTGTGGTCTCTCCCAAGGAGCATAATTTGCTTAGAGCCAGGGAGAAGTGCTGCTCTACCAACAAGGGTGAATGTGTAGGAGGGCAGGGGGGAATCTGGGCATGCTGGGGTTGGGGTATTCCTGGCAGTCCCTGGGTGCCCTGGCTGAGCACAGGGGTAGCAGCCAGGCAGGACAGGAGGCTCCAAATACGTAACCATTAACCTGAATGAAATCCTTCTCCTCAGGTGTAAGCACTAGCTGTGGGACTCCAGGACAGGTTAGGTGGGCTGTCCTAAGAGCTCTGCCAGTGTTTTGTGGGCTCAGCAGGTCCTTATAAGCACTGTGTGTGTCTGATGCCTTATCATTGCTGCCAGAGGTTCTGCCAGCTTGACTGGAACACCTTCAGAGCAAAGTGGCAGAAGAAATGATTTTGTCCTTGAATGTTTAACAGAAAGAGAGCTCTGATGTCTTTGGGCAGCAGAACTGCCCACACCTCATCTTCAGCCCTGAAATGGTGCACTGCACTGAGCATCTCCTGGGGTTGCTGTGGGAGCACTTCCAGAGGCAGTGTGAGTGAAATTGGAAACAACAAAAGCACCAATGGGCAGAACATCTAATTTCATATGCATTGCCTATAGAAATCCATGCCCTGCACCTCTCCATAGTTACCCATAGCTCCCCCTTGGAGCTGCCCATTGCAGCTGTGCCCAGCTGTGGTGGGGCCCATTCAGTGGTGTTTTCCAAATGTTTGTTTTACTTTTGCAGCCTCCTTACTCTTGTCTGCCCCTTCCATCTCTCTGCTGTGGCTGTTGGGTGATGAAAATGTTCTTCAGACCATGGGCTGCTCTGTCTGGGTCTTGAACTAGTCCTGCTCCAGCAGACAGAGCAAAGAGCAGACTTGGCTCTGTGTCTGCTGCAGGTGCCAGGGAGCTGCCCTTCAGAGCTCTGCTTAAACCTGAGGGCTTTTGGCCTGCTCAGCAGTGTCACACCTCCAAAGGGATTTAGGGACTTGCACCACCACGTGTGGGTTTACACTTGAGGTGCAGTGCATGTGGGTGACCTCAAGGAAAGGGAGATTTTAAGCATAACATCATCAGGCTGAGCTGCCTACAAAGTTGCTGTGAGCAGGATCCAAATTCCTCCTTGGAGTTTGCCTCCAAACACATTTTCCTACAAACAGGGAAGTTCTCCTTCTTGCCCTGAGACATTTCTAGTGAAGAAATGACAGTTTGGGCCAATGCAGTCTGACTTCAGAGGGTTCAGGCGGGATGCGGGACCTGCTGGGCTCTGCAGGCTGACAGCCCCTGCAAAATCCAGCTGCAGGCCTGAGCAGCTGGGTGGATCTATGCACTTTTGAGGGGTTTGGCTTCAACTCCAGCCAGGTCCCAGGCTCTGTTTCCTGCTGCCACGACAGGTGATGAGTGCAGGAGTGTGTCTGCTTTATTGCAGACCCTGCCACTGTTGGGTGACTGAGGGGAAGGAGCTGCAGGCACTAAGAAAATACTTCCTGGTGGAAAGCCAAGTAATTTTTTGGTTCTCAAAACCTCCGTCTTCCTTCTAGCAGCTTATGCAATGCATGGAAAGAAGCTTGACCTCTCCACTTGGCCCTTGGGTGAGCTCCCAGCCGTGGTTGTGCCACCTCCCAGTGTTTCACTGGTGGAGCCTCCGGGAGCTGTCTTGGCATGGGCTCCTTCCAGGTGCTTCCCTGCGGAGTCTGTGCTGGTCCTCAGTGCCCCAAGAGTTTTACATCCCCTACGTCTTCCTTGCTTTCCCGGAAACGAGTGTTTAATATCCCAATGCCTTCCTCAGCTGTTCAGCAGAGTGTGGGCTTCATATGTATAATCAAGCCCTGCTGCGAAGAACTCTTGAGCAATCTTGTAGGAGAGTGGAAATACAGAGCGTGAGGAATAACTCTTCTAACCATAAACAAATTATCTCAGTATCCTTCATAATGAAGTCTGCACTAGACTTTTAATGTAAAAGAGCCTTACCTAACAAATATGACAATGAAGGTGAATTCTCTGTGGTGTTCATCTGGTTGCTAACACTGGAATCAGTGCATTTCTTTTTAAATACCCCACTTATTTTTCTTTTAAATTAAGCTTGAAGGTGTGATTAGAAGTTTGGTTGGTTGATTTTTTTTCCACATTGTAACATTAATTTATGGCTGAGTTTAATTCAGTCCTGTATTCAGAAGTGCAGTATAGCTATTAGTGATGTGTTGTCTGTTACAAGGTTCTATAGTGTAGTAGCCAATTTGTTAAAAAAAAAAATAAAAAAAAAAAAGAAAGGAAAACACACAAAAAAAGCCACAAAAAAGAAAATCTAAAAAAAAAAGTATATGGAGTATTTTGTGGTATGTACAACACAAATTAATTTTACACAGAGAAAGATGTTTCTAGGAAAATGAAATTCTGATAATTCATACTATTTGTATGAAGAAATAAAAACTCTATTTTCTGAAGCGACAGGCATGGCTGTGTTCATTGGGGAGGGTTGGAGGTGCTGTCCATGCCAGGAGTGTCCATGGAGCTCTCTGGAGCCAGAAGCTGTCCTGGGGCACATGGAGGTGCCCGATGCTCAGGTGTGCTCTGGGGTTGCTGGACCTTCTGGACACGGCTCAGGCTATGCTCTGGGGCTGTCCTGCCCTGCTGGACACGGCTCAGGCTGTGCTCTGGGGCTGTCCTGCCCTGCTGGACACGGCTCAGGCTGTGCTCTGGGGCTGTCCTGCCCTGCTGGACACGGCTGCACCCAGCCTGGGGAAGGGTCTGAGGGACTGTCGTCCTTGGTCCTGTTGCAAACACTGGGTGGGTTCAGGGATGCTCCAGGCCTACTCAGTCCTTCACCGCTGCAGTGGAGAACCTCAGCCAAGTCACTTTTCCAAAGCTTTTCTCTTACTGTAGTGATGCTGATCCAGCCTCTGGGGTTGCTGTTGCTCCCTACACACTCAGCGTTTTTCGGCATAAAACTTCATTACCACATAATTCAGGAGAGTCCCAGGCCAGTGCTCTACAATGCAGCACCTGAAGAATTAGATTTATATAATGTACCTTTTGCCACTAAAACACACTAAAAATGAGTTTTAATAATTTCATTTTTCTTTGCAAGTCCTGCATCTGGTGCAGAATAATTGATGGTACTCTTTCAGATTGTCCATTTTTCAGAGACCTTCTAAAGAAGGAGAACAGAGCACAAGATTTAATTTTGCCATTTAGGAAGAATTTAACCTGGAAACCTCCAGCTGGTCAGGGCTGTAATTAGGTGTTCCCAAACTCTGGCAATGCTTAAACTCTACAGGTGTCTCATTTTTAAAATATGCAGATTTTGCTTTAACGTTCCCATGTAACTTTCAAGCAGCACAGCTGGATGACCTCAGCTTGATGGAGTTGAGCTGTTCCTTACCTCATTGTCACCTCCCCTTGATTTCATTCCAAACCAGGTGTGAATGCCCCAGCAGATGTCAGTCCTGGAGGCAGCCTGGATCTGAGTTCACCCTGATTTTACAGCAGCTCATGGACCTCTGTCCCTCATTTCTGTATTCTATGTGAGCTGCTCAGTTCTGGGTTGGAAAGCATGAGGGTGCTTTTCCTTCACAGGTGGGTTGGTGCTGCAGAGGAAAGGGAAGGGGATTCCTAGAGCCCTAGTGGGTTTCAGCATCTGCCCTGTCCTCTGTATATCCCTGAAAACTATTCCCAGTTGTACCTGGGCTCGTGGATATTGTGGATTCATTCCCCAGTTTGGTTTGGGGACCATTCCCAGGTGCTGCTTTGGCAAGAGCATCCAGAGGAAAAGAATAAGGATGTCTGTGATTCGTGGGGGTCTGGTACAGAGAAGGGTTTGCTCTGAAGAAGATAGGCCGAAGGTTCTTCTTGTAGATCTGGAACATCAGCTGAAGGAGGAAGCTCCTGAAGGCAAATGGGCTGATGAAGGTGGTGAATAGTCTCTCCTACTGGTGTAACATTGCTGCTAAGCACGGTGGTAGCCAAGGTGGAGTTACTTTTCCTCTTGGTTGATACAAGAAAGGTGAGAAATAATTTCTTTAATATAGAAATCAAACTGGTCTCCAGATTGTGCAAGTGAATGTGGCATTTCTAGGGGAGATGTTTGGGCTGATGGCAGCATCTTGGAGAAGCATCACCTTGCAGAGATGAGAATACATAGAGCAGGGAGGAATCCACCTGAAAGGGCACAGGAACATTTCTGTCTGGCCAGGAACATCTCCGTGTGGCACTCAGAGAGTGCTGAGACCTCCCTGAGGAAAGTGAGGGAAGGGTGAAATGACAAAGGATAATCTGGAGAGCATGTAAGCACGAGGGAAAGATCTGGGCAGGATCTGTGAGGGCAAGAAGTGCGGGTAAATCTTGGAGTTGAGCCCATGCTAAAAAAGACATTGAAAAAGTTAGTAGATTTCATAGGTATAACCAAATTTATTGAGCTTTGGGCCAAAATTATTCATTTAAATGCACCTTGAAGAATAAGGTTTTCACTGGGGCCTGTCTTCAGGAAGATATCTTTATTGTATATGTGTATTTTCCTTGTGCCCAGTGTCCAAATGTTTGGGAGTTTGTGCTGCTGGCAGTCCCAGATCCCCAACCAGCAGGGCATTGCAGTTTTTGTTATTTTTTAATCCCCTTCAAAAATGTTACCTAGCCACTAAATCTGTCGGTAAATTGCTCTATTTGAAGCTAAAATATTAACCTCCAATTTCTCTCTGTGGTTAAGAATCATGGTGTTAAAACTTTTCCTAATGCATATATTTAGAAAGGTAGTAATAGTGACTAATTGGTTATAAATCATTCAAACATTTCTGTGCAAGGCCATTGTTCAGTGCCTTGTTAAATGGGATTTTTTATTGGAGAGAGGCATTTCTGTGTCAAATGTTAGTGCTGGCACCTTCAGCTGGGGTAATACTTTATGGCCCTTGCAAATCCTCAGACCTTCCTGTAAATCAGGATTCCCACCCTTTATTTACAGATTAAAATTAATTTCTTTAAGACACCTGATTGATGCAGGGTCCTACAGCCTAATTCACTGTGAGAGCAGGTGGTCCCAAACACTCAGTAGGTTGGCCGGTTTCACCGTGTCTGAGCTCTTCTCACCAAGCTCTTTACTCTCTTTTCCTCCTGCTGCTTTCCCTTATTTTCCAGCAGACCATGATTCAGTCCTGCAGGACTTTTAGGTCTTGACTTCTGCCTCTGCAGTTTACTCTTTCCTCCTGAGAAGGGTCTTACAAATAGGATTGCAAGACTCAGCCACTCTCACTGGAGCAATTTGCTTAAGAACTGGAGAGGATTGTCCTCCAGGAATATTATTTGCAACTATTTATAGTCAGCTCTAAATGTGAGGCTTAATTCACGCTCATTAAGTCCTCTGAGATGCTTGATGAGCAGCACTGCAGCAATGCTAAGGGTTCCTGTCTGTTTGAGCTGCTCAAAGCAGTGAAAACATCTCCATTCTCCTTGCCATGATCTTTTCCTATCCCACCAGGGACTGGTTGGGAGAATATCAGTACCAGCTACCCTCAGGAAGAACTGGATATTGGTCTTTTGCCAGAAATTACAGGCCATGTGCTGGTAGCCACCAAATTCCTGAACAAAGGGATGAAGTTTTAAAATAATACGCTCCAAAAATGGCTTGGCAGAGAAGGTGCAACTGACTGCTTTGACATTGAGGTTATTTAGCTGGGAATTGATGTGTCAAAACCTTAAAAGCTTCACCAAAGAAAATTTAAGAAAGCGCCATGATTCCAGCTAATTAAGTAATGTCAGACAAATATAATTTATTTCTCACCATCACTCATGTCTACAACAGAATTATCTCATTTTTGATTTCTAATGACTTACTCTCTGTCATTAATCTGGCCATGAATTATTTTTATATAACTTTTTGGCATTGAAACAAAGAATTTTTTTTCTTTTTAATAAAGAGAGAATCCCTAGATAATTCTGCATCACCCTTGAAAGGGGGCAGGGAGTGCAGCTTAGGTTTCATGGCACAACTCCAGCCTCCCTTCCCAGAAACTCTGGTAGGGTATAACCCAGGTGTTACCCAGGACTTCAGCTTATCCTTGCTCACTGTGAAATTCCTTCTAGTACCACACTGCATATTCAGGCTCTGGTTTGGGCTTTTAGTCTATCAAAAGCCCAACAGCCCAGCTGGTACCTGAGCAGACCTGCAGGGGAGTTCTGTCAGGTACACAGGGAGATGTGCTGAAGCCACTGGGCTGTAGTGGTATCCAAACCCACTTGAAGTGCTGCTCAGTTATGGGTAAAACAGAATCCACTGCAGAACTGAGCTCTTGGCTTTCTTTAATCAGGAGAACGATGGAAAGAGTGAAGTTCAGGCCAAGTACTACTCTGCCAGGGGGAAGCTCCAAGGCACAAATCTCCTGGGGCCCACCAGCACCAGGAAAGCACAGGGATGGCACAGGGATGGCACAGGCATCCCTGCTGAAGTACAGTGCAGAATTTAGCAGATACCTACACAAAACCTGGGGTTGCATCATGTGGGCAAGGGGGGAATGGCTTCAAAGGGAAGGAAGGCAAATTTACACTAAGCATTAGGAAGAAATTCTCCCCTGTGAGAGTGATGAGGCTCTGGCACAGGGCACCCAGAGCAGCTGTGGCTGCCCTGTCCCTGGCAGTACCCAAGGCCAGGTTGGATGGGGCTCTGCACAAGCTGGTCTGGTGGAAGGTGTCTCTGTCCATGGCAGGGAATTTGGAACTAGGTGATCTCTGAGGTGCCTTCCAACCCAAACCACTCCATAATTCTACATGTTGCATTTCCATCTGCAGCATGGGCTGTGGTCTGCTCAGGTGATCCTCAGACAGGGACACAGAACAATAATGTATTTTTTTTCAAGCCTCTGTATCAAATTCCAGTGTGGAGGGCCAAATCCTCAGTTTGGTATAAATCAACCCCATTTCACATGCTGCAGCTGAAGCTGCCCGAGTAATTTCAGTGGTTCCTGTGGGGTTTATGGCATCTGGTGGGACCTGCATGTATGGAGCTTCTAAGCTCAAAACACAGCAGCAAAAAATACGTTATCCTGAGTTGTTAATTCTGAAGCAGCACTTGGATACTACATATGGATCCATGTATATCTTTTTTTTGCTGTTCATCACTTTCACTCTCCTGTTTTAAAGTTTAAATAATTATGTAACTTGAGAATAAACAGTAAATTCAGGAACAGCTTATAGTTTAGAAAAGATTGACTAATTCTTGTCAAGGGCAAGCTGGCATAGCTGTGTTGACTTCAAGGGAGCAGAATTGATTGATGTTAACAATGTGCCTGGCCCTGTTTCTCCAGATGTTCTGGTGAATGCCTGCAGATAATGAATCCTGTCTGGAAATCTGCTGAAATTTATGAATATTTGTGGGATAAAGATGTTGTTACATGGATTACTGTGACCTGCTCCAGGCATGGCTCGGTGCAGGGTGAGAAGCAGCCCTGCTTGCTGAGGCACAA